AATATTTGAACATGGATCACATTTGTCAAAATTCAATTTCATTTTCTAGATTAAACATCAAAGTTTTTAGAGATAAATGAAATATAAAATAATTAAAATGAATCAAATATTATTTTGTCTCAAGTTCCACTTTCAAATTTCCAGCATTATTTTCATCATAATGATATCTTCAAGACTTTTGATATGTCAAATTAAAGCTATCATTGAAGTTAATATTGTCAAAATATTTTCAATTTCCAAACACTCTTAATTTTTTTTAAATATACTTTTCAAGATTTTAAATTTCTTATTTGACTCTTAATGATCCATCAAAACATGCATGTTATCATAATAACAAAAAAAATCAGATTATATTGAAACAAATTCACTTCGTGACTCAAACATTATAAGTTTTTAGATCAATTAGTCTCCATTCTAGCTTCATTCTTCAAGCTCAAATTCTATCTTTGTTTCTTCAGCGGTAATTTTTGTTAATAATACTAACAATCTTAAGACACATACATTGCAAAAGATGCTACTTACACAATTGGGTCCTATTGATATGAACCAATTTATATAAATGAATATCTTTTACATAAGACGTCAGAGTAAAAATGAAAATTCTATCATCAACTATGATTAGTGGTTCCACACGGATCAAGAAAAAAGATAAGTTCTAGAAAAAAGATTAAAATAAAGATGTAATAAGACTATTAGACTAGGTGATCACCAAAAATAATAATTGTATTAGTTAAATAAGGCAACCAACGAATTTCATTTCGTCACGGATTGAATGACAATAGGTGCAATAAATAAGTATTGAAAGTGGACAAACCTGGCCGCAGCCGAAAGTATTATGGCCATGTCCAAATCTTGCCGAAGTTCTTGCAAACATTCGGATAGAAGTAGCGATAATTAGGATTTTTTGAATAACTGGTAGCGATTAACGATGAAGCTTGGTTGCACCCGGCAACCAATTCAGAAGTTTGATAGCAACAGTATTATTATTCCTAGCTGGACTTATATGATTCAGATTTTTCGTGATCAGAGATCCACATTTCTAGGATCTAGTGCACCACTAGGCCGTGAAAACTCCAGATATGGATTAGTACTTAAGCCGAAAGTCATTCCAAGGCCAAGACCTTATTTTTGTATTATGTAGCTTTTGAAATTCTATATATGTTTTTGAAATTGTATTGGGTCTGAGTATTGGACGATTGCACAACAGGTACATTGTGGTTCCGATTGGAAGTAAATTGTTGCTGGTAGAATTCTCAAAATGTGTTTGCCGGTTGAGTGAATTAGGATAGCGCCCTGAGAGCTGGAAAAATATTAAGCGTGGACTATTGACGGTTTGCAACATCCAGAAGTAACCCTGAGGGCAAGGAACATATTGAAGAAATGTGTCTGATAGTCCCTAGAGCACGGAAGGTCGTGTGAAACTAGAATCTTGGATAAGACGGGCGTCTCACTGACGATAGGACAAAAGTCTGACCAATTGAGCAAAAACCGTCTGGAAAGGGTAACTGGACTGGAATGTCATTGTAGTATATGATTCCATTCCCATACCCACTACCAAGTAGCCATCCGTTCGGGCAAGGGTAGACATATAGAATATTTATCATCCGGTTGTTGAAATAGTATCTGTGGGAACTAAACACTTGGATAAAAAAAAATCTGGAATAGCCGAATAGTAACATCTGGTAGCTAGTATCCGGATGATTCCGAATCTAGGAAGTGATCATTTGAGAAGTTGACACACTGGTAATACATCCGAAAGGAAGAGAGTCGAAAGGGAAAAGGTACCTTATTGTCTAATAGCAAGGAAACTATAGATCTTTGTGGGAACAAACTCGTAGGGTATACTTTGGAGGGTATTTAATGATCAATTGAGTGCTTTCCGGAGGAATACTAACACCACGCCGTACTACATTAACCAATTCCTATGTCATAGAAATTTCAGTTTGAAATTGCATTTAGACGATACACTATGCATTTGTAAACAACATAAAATACTATAGTTTGGGATGTCTTTAAGCACATCTTGTATATCTACTAAGTACTGTGAGTTTGTCATTTTCATATGATGTTCACCTTCAAATTATCAATTACACCGTATTGTGCTTGGATGGAGACATATAGACATTGGTTTATGATCAAATAAACCAATGTCTATATGAAAATTTGATCATAGTACAAGTTACCAATGAGCTGACTGCAAAATCAACAATAATAAGAATTGGTAGTGGAACATTTATCTTTTCAAGCTAATTACATGCTCGGTAGAATATATAAAGAAAGAGTTTCTAGCTTTAATTTATTAACTCGATATTTGAAGATTCAAGGTGATGCTCTTTCTATCGCATAAAAACTGTTCTTGGATTGCTGGTAAAGTGGTTTTGTTTTGCTAGCTTTCGTCATCTCAATATGGGTTGTTTCATCTCGTGTGATGTGCTCACTATTCAATAAACATAGGAGCAAATAGTTGTTAGATAGTTGAGCATAAACTTTGCTGGTGTATTCATGAACAGAAGAAAATAGTACATACTTTTGTATCTGTTAGAGAACTTGGTTCTTGGAATATTCATAACCACTTATACTTCTTCAGCACAAAGTCAAAGACTATAGATAGACAACTTGTGTAGGATTGTATCAATGCAATTTTTGAGGCATCTTATTAGAATAGAATTGTTTATGATAAAGAAATTAATCTGAGTATCAATTCTCTGTTCCATTGATCCTCTTCCCTCCTTTGGTTAAAAGAGCTGGCAATTCTAAAGGTTTGTGCTATTCAACACGCTTGCTTGAGACAAAGGAACATCACCTTTTACTTATACATTAGAGATTAAGCTTGCGTACCTTCCGATGGTTGACATGATTGCAGGAGCTAATGTGCTAGTTTTTTATCAGCAGGATATGCATACCCGCTGCCCAAAGATTTAATTATTGAAAACGACTTTTATTCTTATACAAAGATAAAGTCAAAAGGGAATTTGGAACGAAAAAATAGAATGGAGATTCAACTCTGAATTGCAGGAAAGAATTCTGCATGATAATATATCGTTTTCTAGCTATTAAAATATATTGGATTGCGTTTACAGGAGAAGGAATATGCCAGAGGAAACCTTATATAAGAAGTTTCATGTAGATTGCTAGTAGTGTCCACCTAAGATTTATGGAAGGATTGTCGAAAGACTTGATGAAAATGAAACTCATAAGAACGGGAGAGCGACACTTAGTTAGGGCTGATACCTACTGATTAATCTGCTCGGAGTCAACAATACGAACTTAGTTTCGTAACTTGCAGAACTGAACATTCCCTTGTATACAATCACAAGGCATGGCATATGTGTTTGACTAGAACGGGGTATGTCTAGCATCCGTGCACATAAGCTTGATAGCAATGTCTCCCAACAATGGTAAATAGATCAAGCCCGTGGGACCCAAAGGGTCAAAAGGCTAAAAAACACAATACAAAAAATCCAACCCCAAATAAAGAGAGAACCAAAAGAACCCCCTAGCTAGTGTCCAAAGCACTAGAACGGTAACTAATAACATCCCTAATGTAACAACCTAAATCATAAGGCTCAAGCTGAAGCAAAGAATAAAAATTCTCAACAACAACTTTATGAGACACTCTTAACTCTACATATCTAGTACAAGTAACAAATACATCTTGTTCTATGTCTAGCAATAATATGACGTAAAGAAGTAGATATCTCTGCAAGTAAGTATCCTTGCTCACAATAAACAAGCATAGTATTCACATGAAGTTGATAAAACTGCATCTTGGTGCCTCGTCTGCTCCACATAATGCTGAGAAATTCCTCCTTAATACGCTCGCGTAGGGCAATAGGTTGCAAATCCCAATCGAGTTCCGTCACATTCCACCTCAAAGACCAAGTGACCACATCTGCAAACCAACCCTTGGGACGTGTGGCACGCAAAGCTTCAAGAGGAAGTCGAGAAGCATCAAGAGATCTCACTCTTTTGACATAAGTGATAGTAAAAGAGAAACAGCCTCAAGAGGTAGACAACCTATTTCCGCAAGAAGAATTGCATAAGAAGTTTGGGTCCTCACACCCAATTCTTCTTGTAAGAAGATCTTTTGCACCCTCTCCAAACGCTGCCAACCTGTCTTCTTACAACCAGTACCCCACACTTGTGTTCCATATAAGATAACGGGAAACACTAAACTCCTGAATAAGAATTTTCTAAGACTCCAAGATACTAGATGAGCTACTGTACATATATTTAGCAATGAATATAGAGCTTTGAAATCAGCTTCTACACTCTTTTGCACACAAAGTGCCCAACTATAATCAGATGAGAAATCAAGTAAGAGTCGTTGATTACCAAGCATATCATGATTTGCATATAGTAGTGTCAAATGCTCAACCCGGACTAGGCATGTCACGGACGCATGCGACAAACCGCTACGAGATTCCTTGCATTCCAATACTTTTGCAACAAAACAAGAAGCACGCTGTTACATCGGACTTGCTTTCAGTTGAACTAGAATCATAAAACATGACACTGAACGTCTTCATTTTAGCTTATGTATCATGACGTTTGTGACATTGGAATGCAAATCTACCGGAAGAAAATCGCAGAAGCTTTAGTTGACACATTACTTCTACATCCATCACATCAACCTTGCGAACAGAGCCCGAGTACACCGTGGTGGTGACTCGAAGAGTAATCACATCTTCTAGTCCAGTCTAACCTATTCTTCTGGGACAAAATGAGTCATTAAGCTGACAGAGGGGTCCGAAAGACGTGAGGGTAAACCACCGCGTATTTATAGTTAATATACTATATACAGCTTCCTAGGCAGCGTAATGTAAGAGTCGTCACAACGCAATAGCTGGAGCAAAATAAGGAAGGTTGCATTATACAGATTAACTAGTAAGAACATGCGCTGATTACAAGTACTGTCCAAGTTGCTGGTATAACCAGCAGCTCCTGACAGTAGGTCAACTGTGGTCAGATACGTAATCTGCGCGAAAACCTGCAATTATACGAGGGAATTCCCAAAGACGAAAGGGACTAGACATTCATAGATTCCTACATGGAGCCCAAACTCCTTCCTGCGGTACGTGTATGTACATCGGACTTCTCCGTTTCGAAAAGGAAAAGAAATAGAATTCTGACGGAATTTGGAACTACTGTAATGGAATAAGAAACAATGGAAGGAGTTGTTGGCTGTTGCTGGCTGGCCTTGAAGTGGAGGCAATGAGGGCTCATAGAAGAGCAGAGACGGCAGAAGGGACAGATGGTCCAGTGGTTTTGCAGTCTTTCACAGGGTCATGGAGCAGGCGACAGCGGACTAAGAAGACTTGGCCAATTGCAGTGCAGAGCGGAGCAGTGCTGGTAGAGTAGCAATTAGAAGTGGGAATAGGTTACTGCAGTGGCGACGGCCTTGGGTCTTAGATTGGTGTTTTTCTGATTCAGAAGAGGTTTTCGTGGGCTCGGTGGGGTGGTGTGGGGCTGGGTTGGGTTTAGGCGGGTGCTCTAGGAGGAGAAGCGATGAATGTGGCGGAGGATGAGAACAAGTTTCATGACGGAGGAGATGAAGAAAAAGAGTAGGATCACTGGAACCAAGGGAAGGAAAGAGAAAGTGAGGGAAAGGACTGAGTTGAGCATTTTCAGAGGAGGAAGAGGAGTAGATCGGGGGGAGTTGAAGCGTATCAATGTGGTTTCATCACGGAATTGTGAGGCGTCCCGATTAGAGGCCTCAACTTGTTGGGATCGATGCCGGAGGAATTGATAGGTCAAGTTTTGGGTGCGGTTGATCAAGTGTTTCAATTGCTGAATATAAATGAAGTGGCCAGATTGTTGAACATGCCGTCCAACAGAACTCAAAGCGATTATGGAACGGCAGTGGTGCTCGGAGTTGCCACGGTTGCAGTCGCTGCAGTTGTAGGTGGAATTGTGTACTTCAATGACGGGTCAGCTGCCTGAACCTTTTGTGTGTATGTGTGAGAGAGAGAGAGAGAGACACAGAGAGAGGAAGAGAGAGAGAGATAGAAGTCGGGGGAAGACAGTCTTCTATTGCTCGGGAACCACCACCTGACTTAAGCTCTGTTCTCCTTGTACATGCTCGTGGAGTTTGACGGCAATGTGGGTTTGAGGCGCACATGCACAAGCTCTTGTTTCTTCGCACGTTCTCTTGAATAAGAAAGAGAGCATCTTGGAGTTGGTGTCTGATGAGCCTTAAGAAGAAACGTGGAATTCGCCGAAGCAATTGGTCGCATCCTCTCGCAGGATATAGCCCATGCGGATTGACTTTTGATGGTCAATTTTACCGAGGAAAAGGATTTGCATGCAAACTGAACCTTAGTACAACCTTGTGGAGAACATTACTGCGAGTCGATGCGCAAACGAATCAGGAGTCACAGGTTTCAGTTAGGGTTTTGTTTCTGCGCTCTGTTTTACTCCTGAAAACTCTGTAGAGGTGGATTTGTATATTGTCAAGATTTTCGGTGGCACTTGCGACGATCAAGGCTTTCGTCCGATCTGAGTGCATGCAACCAATCTTGCTGTGTACGTTGATGGAAAAGAGTATTTGGCACCTATGAGTACCAGGATTCATATTTGGAATGTCGGTATGTCTGGATTATCACAAAGTGCACTAATGAATTTTAGAAATGATTGTTTAGACAAACGGGAGCTGACAGTTTTGTGATTGTATCCTTCTTTAGTCTGAGGTGTAGAGTTTTGTCAGGTATTCTTGTTCATAGCTGTATGTCAGCTGTATCCAACCTCTCAAATGGCTGTTGCAAGCAGGAAAGCACCTTGGAATCGTAGGAAGAAACATCACCCGTTGACCAAGCAACAGTGGGTGGAGTCATTCGAATCCAAAGAAGGCCGGCTCAGTGATGGCGGAGAGAAGGTTCTACACAAAGCCCGCAAAGGGGTATGACTCTCTGCTGTTAATTGAAACTGGCTTCAGTAGGATCAGGTTTAAGTGGCAGACTTGACGGGCAAAGCTACAGTTATGAACCAGGACCTTTCATACGATCTCAAAGTACTTATGAGCTCTTGGATGCATGTTCGTGAATCCAGTTCCTTTAATTGTGAGTTTGCGCGTTTTCAAAATCAACTTCTTCGAAGTGAGCCTTTATTGTAAAAGATTGTGTGGACAATTTTATAACCTTCTTTAGATCCTTTCGTGCTTTTTGAGCGCGCCATTTTCCGGACACATCCTAGCATAGCTAATTCGTGTTGCGTTCGAATATGTTTCAGGGAATCGATATCAGCATCCGGGCAGAAGTATGGCCATTCTTGCTAGGCCTGTAAGTTTTTACGTACAAAGGGTCCATCTAAAGAATGGGAAGGACATCTTTTATGTGTATAACAAAGCAAGTTGTACCCCAGATTTTCACGAATATTGATTGTGGGCAAATTTTCGCCAACTTTTTGCAGTGTATTTTAGTTCTCCCTGTCGATCTCAGTCACTGCTTTTTCACTTCCACTACTACACTACTAAATTTTGTTTTGTCAAGAATGTTCATGTCTCAAGTTCGTACCGATGAATTTGCTGTACCATCCTACCCGCCCACAAGCTGTTCACTGTTGGAGATGATGTTTGTACCTAGGTATGATATGAAGAGCACCTCAGCAGAAAGGCAGGCTTCAGATGTCTGCAAAAGGTAAGTCAAGTCAGAACAAAAAGGCTTTGTACTGCAGGCAAAGACATCTCAAGTAATCGTTTGTTTCGACCCCGTTTCGTTTTTTTAGTATCTGTCTTTCGGGTTTCAGATGTACTTTCAAGACCTTGACCATGTTTGGCTAAAGAATGTAGATGGATCCGAGGGAATGTTTGCAGTGAGGAGTATCAAGAATTGAGGCGGCAGTGTGCTGTCTTGAAAGAACGAATGGTAGCAGATTCGAATAAATCTAGCTTGGAAAAGGATGACTCGGGCTCATTTGAGAAAGTTAATGAAGCTGATATCCTAGAGTCAATGATCGACGAGAAAGGAGAAACAAGTGAATCGGAGCCAAGTTCCAAGACAGACGAAGTTTCAGAATCAAAAGAGAAGCAGGATGGTGTGTCCAACAACGATACTGAGGAGATTGCCGCAAATGATGAGCCCTCAGAGAATCCTAAAGTTGATGATATTCTGGCAAAGGGACCGAAAGCTCTCGAAGATTATAAAGACTGGATGAGAATCATACGGCTTGATGCCGTGCGTATGAATGCCGAGTGGGTACCTTATTCAGCTGTTCAAGCCAATGTTTCAGAGGAAGAAGCTGCCAGACGAGCTGGTGAGGTAGGCATTCAAGATGACGATCATCTGGAGGCCAGCCGCAGACACCATGCAGCACGCCTGGTAGCCATCCTGGAAGCGTATGCTTTGTACGATCCAGAGACTGGATATTGTCAGGGTATGAGCGACTTGCTCTCCCCATTCGTTGCTCTGATGGAGTCGGACTCCCAGGCCTTCTGGTGCTTTGTTGAATACATGAAGGTTGCAAAAGCCAATTTCCGAATGGATGAAACCGGGATCTTACGGCAACTGCGGTTGGTGGGCCAAATATTTCAGCTCTCTGATCCCCAGCTCCATGACCATCTAGTAAGGATCCAGGCGGATGATTGTTTCTTCGTATATCGGATGGTAGTTGTGCTCCTCCGGAGAGAGCTGAGTTTTGAGCAGACCGTGTGTTTGTGGGAGGTAGTTTGGGCGGACTGGGCCGCTCTCAGACTGGAAGCTACTGGAGGGAGCCGCAGCGTCAGGGAGGCCTTGAGAAGGCTCCCAGCTTCTAAAGACTTGTTGCTTTTCACCATTGCTGCCGCCGTGTTACAGAAGAGGAAGTTCATTATTGAAAAGTGCCAAGGTTTGGATGAAATATTAAGAGAGTGTAACGCTATGGCCGGAAAATTGGATATTTGGGAGCTGATTGATGACGCTCGTGAGCTTCTGCGCGTTTTCAACAGTAAAGTAGGCCACGAAAAGACCGATTAGTCTGTACAATCTGTATTCTGTAATAACACATAATTTCCAGGCGTTGAGAGAGCTCCGGACAGTCAGCTGCCTGAGAATCCAGTCACAATCAGGCCAATCACAATCCGTTTATTTGCTGAGGTCTTCCTACTTGTAACCTTCGGACCATTTCCTTGAACCATTACCACCAGTCATCTCGTAGAATTACATGTTGCTTAAAGTTTAACTGCAGGTGTTATAGCTCTTGTTGTCTACAGTATCTTAGCAGGTCTGTAAAGATCCATGTAATCGTTTAGGGTTGAAGAAGTAGACACTAAATTGCCTGCCTTTATATTTGGACTGGAAGTTCTTTAAAGGCTGCATGCTGCTCATTGTCCACCGTCTGACCTTAGCTTTGGGAGGAAAGAACCCTCAACACTGTTTTTGTTACCGAAAAGACACAACCCGCGAACGTCGAATTTATGTCGAGAAACACACCACTCTATACTGTAATAAACGTGGCCGCTATTTTTTTCCGACCTAGAAATCTGGCTAACAAAGTTAGTGAGCCTTTTCAGGAATACTCTAACAGTGGAGAAGTTTTCAGGAAACTGACAGTCCTAGAGAAACCTTCAAAGTTCCAGGCAGAAGAAAAACCAGGTGAAAGTTGGATACGTGTAGTTCAGCGTCAGTCTTCTAAAATTTTGCGTTGTTCATTCAAACTCAAGCAGCTACAATTTGAAACAAAGCCATCAGTGTAAGCTTTTTTTTTTATTCAAACGTATTTCGAACTTCCTCAAAGTCAGTCTGTTAATGAAATTTACACAGCAAGCAACTCTGCTTTTCGAATCGAAACCCTCTTCCTTATGCGATTTCAATGAGTTTCAAGATTTCAAACGTGGTTTTCTGATACTACGAAGTGCGGTCAGATGAGTCGGAAAGCTCCGTATCACTGGCTTCTATAGTTGCTGCGGCTGGCATTCTGTCCCATGTATATGCGGTCAGCATCCCCTGTTTGCGCAATCTCGTAGATCTTCCTCCCGCAAAACTCCATTCTGAGCGTCACATGGTGCATGGAGGTCGTCCGCCCATAGAAGAAGGAAGTCTTCAAGTTTAGTAGCGAGATCGTTGTTCTGTGGACATCTATTAATACGTGGGAAGACTTTAAGAGACGAACGGGATGTGCCAACACGTCGGGTGCGAACACTTTTCCGAAAATACCCGACCGAGCACTGCAGACTGCTGTACTACCATTCAATTCCCGCTGGAGTCCGTCTGAAGCAGAAGGAATTTAGGGGTGGTGTTATTTCACAGAAGTGGAACAGCCGCGCTTAAGATGTCATCATTGAAGAGAGGTGCAGGGATGAACGGGGGAGAAGGCCTGGTAATAGTCATCATGGGGGTCTCAGGTGCGGGTAAATCGACAATAGGAGAGCTTCTAGGCAGGAATCTGAACTGTCCATTCATCGACGCAGACGACTTTCATCAAGCAGAGAACAAGGACAAAATGCGGAACGGGATTCCCCTGACCGAGGATGATCGATTACCATGGCTCGAGAAATTGCGCGACGCGATGGCAGATTACATCAGTGAGGGCAAAATTGCCGTACTAGCTTGCTCCGCACTTCGACAGAGCTACAGAAGCATTTTGTGCTCGGCAGCCGATGGCCCTTCACCTGATAACACGAAGAGGGTGATGTTTGTCCACCTGATAGGCAGCAAGGAACTTTTTGAGTCCAGGCTCGCAGCCAGGCATGAAGAAGGCAAACATTTCATGCCTCCGAGTCTTCTGCAATCTCAGATAGAACTTTTGGAGGACGATGAGAAGGACAGTAGATCGATTATTGTTTCTGCCGACGCAAGTCTCAGTCCCCAAGCCATTGTCGATCATATAAAAAATGCGTTGTCCGCCAGGCTTCATGGCTGAGAAGCCTGTTAGGGTGTTCTTTGATCGTTCTGGATTTGCTCTCATCATCTTCGTCTTGACATCCAATTAGCCTTTTCTCGTAGCACCCTCGATTTTTACTCATCGGAACTCTCATCCAAAATCATTCTTTATCGGTCAATGTACTGTACTGTGTGTTTGTCACCTGTAAGAATTCAAACTGGTTCAATTTCTTGTCAGTTACCGATATTTTCAGCCACTCAATCTTTTAGTCCTCACAAATGGAATGAGAGATTGTTTAAGGGTTTAGTTTTCGGGTTTGGTGTTTACTTTGGTTTCAGTTTCTACAGTCATAGCTGTCCACTTATCACTTACGAATAGTTCTTAATTTTCTTATGTATTGTCATTAGTATGTTGATTAACTTAGACAATCAACATATCAGCATGGGAAAATCATATTCAACTAATAACATCACACTAGGTGTCCACTTATCACTTACGAATAGTTCTTAATATTCTCATTTATTGTTATTAGAATGTTGATTGACTTAGACAATCAACATATCAGCATGGAAAATCATATTCAACTAATAACATCACTAGTCTATGCGATGTGAAGATGAACACATGTATATTCAATATATAACATTATTCTCAGTTGATTTTGTTGGGTTGTTCATTTCTTACTTAGTGTATACTCCATATGCTTTTAACTTGCAGTCGTGTCTTTTAGAGTAATAGTCATCATAGTTTCAACACTTTTAAGTAAGTTAAAAGTGTTGAAAAAATATGAGAGAACAATAGGATATGCAGCTAAGCTGCAGAAGCTTAGCTGTCTAAGATGAGAAAGACAAGAAACAACAAGGTCAATGACTAATTTTTTCTACCCGTGGGAATGATTGACGATAAGAGTTGTTTACACCATATTATACCATACTATTGATATAATATTGAATTAGGGAAAATAGTGTTATGAAGTAGAGATGTAGACATTTTTATTTTGTTAATATTTAATTAGGGTTTAGGGTTTACTTTATATAATTATAATTAAACATACTAATTAACTTATTATCACATGAGAGAGCTGGTTAAGATTCTTAAAAAGTACTTGTGTTCATGTGGATGTAACTTTGTAACAAAAAATCTATTCTTTGTGAATGGTGGTGTATTTGTGAAACGAATGTTGATCTCATTGTCCTTGGTTAATATCTGATTAAATAGCCTTGCAAATGTAAGCACTAAGTGCAATGGGAGAACAATTATGACCAACTTCAAAACAACTACAATGATGAAATTTGCAGCCGCGACTAGAAGGATACACAAAATTAAAAAGAACGAGTTGAAAATCTTCGTCACAAGGGTGATACCTCGAGATGCTCTAGCGCTTGAAAAGCTACAATTGATAACATTCTTGAAACTTACAAGTTCTATTGCTTTTGTTGGAAGCAGTTTGAATTGACGCACATGTGATGAAAAAAACAAGGATGTACAAATTGCCGAGAGAAACATTCGACACTATTAGAGAAGATTCATGTCACTAGCTGTAATGACAGATAAATACCAAAATGCAGCACAATGGTAAAGATCCAATCCCACGAGGACAGAAACAACACAAAGAGCAACAAGTGTCATGTATTTAATAGTTTGTTGAGGAGTTTGAATTCTCAGTCAGCTGTCACTCCCAGAAATACTACAGGTGCGAAGTCCAAAGTAGGCACAATGCAGCGCAAATCACACAACAATCATGAAATTCTCCAATCCAACATCACTGAGGTCGATCGCGATATTGTCTAAGTATTCAGGGGGGAAGATTCCCGAAGTTTACACTCATTAACTGCGTGAAGCTTCCAATTACAAATTTGCTTAAATCCTGATCTAACCAATTGCTACTCAGAACATCCGAATTTGGCCACTACCTCGGATGCGGTATTTTTGACAAACAGAAGTAACTCTCGCGCGGTGACAAAACTCTCAATACACAGACACGGAGAATGTAGGCTCAAAACTGAGAAAACTAACTATCAAGAATGCCTCCGAAGCTGAAGTGTTGGGCTCCTTTATTCCTAAATAACACACCGAGATGTCACTCGCTCTGATGCGAACTCCGACCAGGCATGCCGCCCGCAGAGTCGGCTGTTGCCGCACTATCCGACTTCCGATCTAAACCTAACCTACGCACAACGGCCATCAGCTCCAACTCTTGATTTGCCATCGCCTCACACGAACTGGTAAGAAACGCATCCAACTTTCTAGCTAACTGACGCTGCCCACTAACACTACACGTTATCATTGCGGTCGCGCAGCGCTATAGATCTAGAAACTGCAACCACCTCTGCGTCTCGACCTGCCATAATACAAATTCACACAGGCACCGATTCACCTTCTATGTTAAGGCGTCGTTCGTCTGCTCCGCTAACTCTCGATTCTTCTCCTCCGCCTCCAACAGTTTCGCCTCCATCTCACATAACTGCTCCTCGGCCAACGATCGCTGAGATCTCATTTCATTGCACTTGGCCTCCAATCTCTCTTTCAGCTCCTGGTCAATGGTCCTAGCAGCCTCACACTCCGTAAGAGCCTTCACCTTCACTGCCACTTCTGTTGCGTGTGTCTGATACTTCTTCTCCAAATCCGCATTCAGCTCGTCTACTATTCGCGACTCCTCATTGAAAGCTATCCAAGACGCCTCTAGTCTATGTCGAAGTTTGACTGTCGCACATCTGGTGACCTCAATGTCAGCTCGCAGACTCTCACATGTCTTTTTCAAAGACCTCCGCAACTCTATCTCTTTGGCCAATCTTCTCCAAAGTATATCGTACTTCGTTTTTGGCCCTTGTAGCTGACTCTTCTTCTCTGCTATTGTGTGTGACGTTGCCACCTTTACCCGTATCCTATTACGCACTAACTCCACGTAAGATCCGACATTTGTGGTACCTGCATACTTCCCAAGCTTGTTGTCAAGATAGCGGAGTAGAGGTATCACTTGTCTACACATCATGTCCGCAGCATTAACTTTTCCGACTGAATCTCTTCTGCTGAAGAATACTCGCCCGTCTCCAATATAACTATTCCCGTGAACGTCCGAGATGACGCCAACGGTTGCTGCGCAATAGTCTTTCCCGCTACGCCTTCCACTATTCTCTATGCTATATTCTTCAGGACCATCGGGTCCTCCTCTGTGTCCGATGACACTGTCAGCACTCCTACAGGCTTCTCCGAAGGAACTCTTACCCTGATTTCGTCATGAGATTACTTCCTCCGTCATAATGGCCTTTCCATTCTTCTTTCTCGTTGCCTGGCGCTTCACCACTGCCAAAGGTCTTACCTTAGAAGTCCAGAGGTCTTTCTCCAAAAGCACATCCTTCTCTCTCACAGCGATCTATGCTTCCAACTCCGCCCCCTCTTTTGAAGTGTGACGACCTTGCGACGCAGCAACGCTGCTCTCCGTGCTGCTATCAGCCTCCAAGATCAACTGTCTAGCTTTCACCTTCATCCTAGCTCGAGCATTAGGCGTTCTGAAATTGGTAGGAATTGGTTTGCGCTCACGCTCTTCTGTCACTGCTATCTCTTGAAGCTTTCTTCTCTTCCGTGACCGCTCTTCTCGTCTGTCCCTAGGTACCTCTGTTCTCCCCGAAGGCGAATTAATCTGCTTGTCCTCTGGATCAGTGTTGATCTTGTTGGCACTCAAAAACTTCTTCATCATCCTGCGCGTGAGTTCGCATCGGAAACTCCTTCCTCTCTACATCAATTAACAGCTCCATCTCCCTATAGAAACAAATTAAAAATGGGGATAGTAAATTGGCGGATCCTCCCGGAAGTACCCAATGCTGGGTGGCTGTCCAAAATATTTGTGCCTAGTGACTTTGGTCTTCTCGCAGCGCTCGTTCCACGAACTCAACCTGCCAAGTCATCATGTACGTGGTCCGATAAGGTCGAAGGATCTACCATCGCCACATTCCTCTTGAAACAATCGTGGTACCCTATGATTCAATATTCATTCTTGCCGGTGCGCGGGTTCTTGAATAAAGCTACATATGACTTCTCTTCCGCTCGCGTTACCTTGATGCTCTCACTATCAAAGGTAAGATCGCCATCATCTCTTGTGCAACTCCCCAAGACTTTTGTCCAGTCCCAAATTTGCCAAGTCTCAGGATTTCCTCAATAGCCCGGTGGCTTCGGAGCGCCACCGTTGTCCCACTCCTGCACCATTGTTACACATATCCAATTCCAACCCCAGAGCAAGAAATCAAATTTTGTGAGGATCAATTCACCACGATACGCTCGCAATCCCACCTCTAGAACTCACAGTGCGGTCAATCGAATTGCGCCCGTTTGCCCCATAGTTGCTCTCTCTAGTTTGAGCTTCCGCACCACAATTTCTTGGCGATTTGCAATAGTATGATTGTGAAATGTGGGAGCTAGACTCGCACCCTCGCGGGTCTAGCCCGTCGTCGCAACGGTAGAATCAACTCGTGCGAATTGAAGGTGCCGCCATTCAAATTTCTTTCCTGTTTAACGCCATCTTTTACTCCATTAAGGATCCTTTGCTAGAAGGTCTTTATAGGTAACTCCGAAGTCATCACTGCCGGACATCCTCTTTCGAAGGCTAATTTAGGTCTTTGGAGAACCTGGGTGTTTGCCTCTTTCTTCTGTAGCACGAGCCTCACTGATCCGTTTCTTCGACTTTGGACCTCATCGGCCTAAACAGACCAAGCTCTGTCTATGGCAATCCTTCGTAGTTCCTACTCCTACTTAGCATCTACACAAAAAGTTCTTATTCTCTTCTCTTCTAACTACTATTATCTCAAAAGTTAAAACTTACGTGGATTTTCCTTCCTAACTACTTTACTTCCGAAAAAACAAAAAAAACTGCACTACCACACTAGCAATACTTGTTTGCATGTGAAGTGAAATTCACTCTATTAAGATGTTAACTTAATTCCTTCCTTCGTCGTTCCAACACATATTACAACAATGAAAACACAAACACAACAACCATACTTTTATTTGTTATTTGTTTGTCGTGTTATTTGTTTGTTACATATTGACATCAACATCCTATATGTTCAATTCAAGAATCCAGCTTTCACAAAATGATCGTAGATTCTTTTAAGTTCATATTTCTTCAAACTCACGCACAAAAAATTAACATTGATAGTTACTTTGACAACGGCGTCCATAATGTTGAGTTACACCACATCAACATAATACACAACAGCGTTGATAACCACAAGAACAATGTGAAAAAATAGCATTTGTATAATGAAACAATCTATCCTCAAAAAATGTAAATTACTTTTCTAAGTTTTGAACTCTTTAGGATTTTAATCTCATATAATCTAGTGTGTACTAAATACTAAATTCCACGGTTAAGTTTTACATCCAAACCTTGGAGTTTAAATCCTAAAGTTTAGAATTTTATCATAAACTTTAAACTTTAAACTTGCCAATAATAAATCATAGAATTAAGATTGTACTTTTTCATAATA